TTAATCATAATTAACTAAATATTCGAATATATAAACAAAATTACTCGATTCTGATTGATCAAGAGGAGTACAAATTAAATCCCAAATTGTACTCTGTAGAGTCCCAATTAAGTTGCTCAGTTTTGTTATTGTTATTGCAGTTGTTCAGTGTATTATAAACAAAAAATCAAACGATTTCGAGTACAATTTGGAATTTATAGATACTCGTGATGTTTTGAAAGCTCTCAAACTGGACTCGCCTAATTAAGGCTCGTCCAATTTTGAAAATGTTCAAAACATCACTCGTACCTATAAATTCCGAATTGTACTCGAGATCCTGCGATTTCCTATACAAATTTTGATTTGATTTTTACTTTCAGTTGAATACATTCTTATCCAGTTTCGTCACACATTATCGTGGGATATTTGCATATAACCCATTCCTTCAATCACATGAAATGCGGAAAAGAACAAAAAGCTCCAAAATCTTTGATTATTTTAAGTTGATTGACGATTTGCCACACAAATTGGTTGCAATTAAAGTCAGAAAACGTTTTGGCGAACAAAAAAAGCAAAAAAGGAGGTAAAGCCTTTGTCGAGAATAATAATAATGAAAAAACGTTGAATTACTAAAAGTGAAAGTTATAGCCATTGTTCTTAGTTCTAGCTCTTTCATCCGGGGACATTACGTAGCAGAACGACTCATTCAACGAAAGTAAACTCAAGGTCAAGCAAATCAAAGTGAAATTTTTCAAGGCTTCGCTTGTTATGTTAACTCCATTACGCTGATGTGAGGTAAGCACCCTTTTCTTAAGGAGAAAAATAACAAACGTTAYCTTTTTCTATCGATAGTTTTACCAATTTTGGTGTTTAGAACCGTATCAATATATTAAAGTTTGAAATAATACTATGATTCATAGTTATGTGATAAGTCGCATATAAGATCGATTTTACTAAGAATCAGTGAAAAATCTAAATCTAAGAGAAAACATAACGTAAAACGATAAAATATATCGGACCTCTTACACAGTTTTAGCCGTTTTCATTATTTATTATTTGGTTTTTAATGATTAATGATTGGCAAAGCTGTTTCGATTTAATGCTTTGAGGAAGTATCTCTGACATATTTGATATAACATATCCAATTTCAAACGAAATTCAAATATCTTGAAGGAATATCGATTCCAATGTTATTCATTTTCAAATATTTTTGTGTGGAAGTATTTGTGCGTTTTTATGGTGTTTTGTTTTGTTTTTGTATTGATATATCTTTGGTGAATAGTTTTGTTCATGTTGCTATATATAATGATTACTTATTGATTTGAATCGAAAATAACTCGACCTTAGCTTGAATATTGAAGAGGTTTCGGTCCACTACTCTCTGGTTTAAAAGTATTAATGATGATGTTGATAATGATAATATTAGAATAGTAATATTAAGAATAAAATAATTATTACTATTATAATGATATGTAATAATATTAATAATTATAATAATAGTAATAATGAGAATAGAGTTAGAATGACTCCGAAACGTCAAATTCAAAAGTTTCAATAATGATGATGTTGATGATGATGAGAAGGAGCAGTTTATAAATAATAATAACAAATAGATACATTTTAACTTGTAAATCATTAGATGCTTTTTACTTAATTTATTGTACAAATCATTACATTAAAAAAGTCTTTTAAAAAAATCGGAACGGCTGTCAGACGCTATCTATTGAGATTTTCAGTATTGGTAATATGGCGATGTATTTATTAATTAGCCTTCGAAAAACGATTAGAAAATGTGTCAAATTGTACTTTTCAAAATACTAAGTCCTCAAAGTAAGTTGTTAASTTTGAGATGACGTATGAGTAAAAGGAAGTAATGTATTTCGCCAAGATTAAAAGACGCGTCCAATCATAACACTGGAGTAAGCATTCACTCCTTCGAAAGATTGAAAACAATGCAGAACGCTGTCAACGCGCCCACGAAAGATAAGAATAGGTAATTTCATTTTGATATTATTTTATCCCATGATAATGTCACAGATATGTAGGAATCTGTAATTTTTCCCCTTAAATTGAACTTCATTTCTGTTGCTTTTCCTTCTTATTTTTCCTTTTTTTTTCTTCCTTGGAAAAAATATCTCCTTGAAATTTAGAACCTGGTCGTGGTTTTGGGCAGTACTTACAAAATCGTTTGCACATAAAACTAATAATAATTAAGACTTTCCTTCGACTCTGTTTTCGTTCCTATTTCAATAGCTTTCAGTTCTTGGTTTCATTTTGTTGTTGTTGTTGTTTTGTTTCTCAAAGTAATTCCTTCGACTTTAAAATATAATCGTTTCTAGGGCATAACTTACAGATTCTTTACAAATGAATGAAAATATATCATTTCATTTACTTTTACTTCATTTCTATTTTCGTTCCTCTCTTATCATTTTCTTTCACTTTTTTATTAACCTACAAATATCCTGAAAGTATCCTTGAGAAATATTTTCAAATTTAMATCCAGTAATCTATTTTTTGGCGATTCCTATTTTTTTCTTCCCATATTACCGTTAAGTTAATTCCTTTCGTCGTCTCATCCATTTTTTAAATCCTCATTTATTCCAAACTCAATAACTTTATCCTAAAATATCCCCACCTATTTATCCTTAAAACACGTCTTAAAATGCTTCGATATGAATGAATAAATTATGCCTAACTTAAAACGATACAACCTTTTATCCTTTYACAGAATTCGCTTCGAAATCGGGGCTTCAATTCAAGTGAGAACTTGAAAAAAGGGTGTCTAGATGTGATATCCGCTGTTAGATTGGATCGTGTCCTRGGAGATAAGAGTTTACAAACAATAAAAACAAACAAATGTTTGGACTTTCAACAAAACGTCCTTTTTAAAAATTGCTTTTTATCCAATACAATACTAATAGAAATTGCTGGTGGAACTGAGCCTTTGAAAATACTACTTTTCTTTATTACTAAGGAAAAACAAYCAGAAAAGCTAACGTATCAAACGGAAAAGGAATGAAAACATCTGATATTTAAGGTATTTGAAACACAAAAGACAATGGTACATTTGCTAGCATCTTGTGTCGTAAATTTACGAAATAATAAGCCAATTTTTAAATATGCAAAAAAAAAAACGAAAATCTAAAAACAATCTACAAAAAATCGACAAAGCTTTTCGCTGTTGTATCACAGCGTGGAACAATCACAGCAGAGCTAGGCTCCAAACCAGGTGAAAGCCCAGAGATCGAATTAGAATTTAGGAGTTGATTTTTGCGGAGGGAGGAAAACTGGAGAACCCGGAGAAAAACCCTCGAAGCACAGAAGAGAACCAACAAACGACTCTAGTCACATACGACATCGAGATCGGCAGGACTCGAACTCGGGCCGCATTGGTGAGAGGCGGCGCATTAGCAGCGCACCCCACCGGTGCTTCCCATTGAAGAGGGTTAGAAAGTATCCGATTCAATTCCTTTGAATTCTGACATAATGGTTGTAAAAAATAAAAAAAAAGATTTATAATACCAAGCCTGATAGTAGGGGGAAATGTACGTATGTTTTATATTCTTCGATTGCTACAACACAAAGGACTGCCACAATTTCGAAACACTGATAAGTGGTTTTTCTTGAAGTTTTCCAGCCCACTTCATGCACAGCTTTGCAAAACAGGCTGTTGAAATCTCTTTAAGGAGTTGCGCAACGTCAGTAGAGTTGATCTATAACCTTATCTTTGTGCCTTGTTTATAATAAAACAGAGACTCGAAGAAAAACTAGTTGTCTCATGATAGGTTTGCAAGTCTTACTGTCAAATCCATTCCATCGGAAAATTTTTCAGCTGTTTTTTTGTTTTCCAATTTTAACTTAAATCAATACGAGCTCTTTCAGTTATCTTACGTGAGCAGAAATTCTCGCCTGTGCTTCGGAGTTTTTTTTCTCCAAAATTGCGGTTTTTCTCCTCCCTCCGCAAAAATCAACACTTTGAAATTTAATTGTCAATTTAATAAACCCTCCTAGCTTGGGCTAGATAGGATGCAGGCTATTTAGGATAATTGAAATAATAATATAATATTTTTTGGATTAATAAAGCCTGGAGCTAGCTTACTGCTGACATCGACCACCGCTAACATAGCAGTTGCCTACAGCAATATTTCTTCGTGTGGAAAAAAACAAAAACAAAGCAAAACAAAAAAATGATATATTTATAACCCTAGCGATTGACTTTTTGCGCACGTAAAAGTCACTTTTGTGATTCATTTGATTTATATAAGGCGTTAGTTGAAGGGTTTTGTAGTATGTCGCAAAGCGAGCGTCTGCAGATGATTTCTCTTCATTTGCRCAATGAAAAGATTAAAACGATAAATTAAAAAAAGGAGACAAAGTTGAACGAAAATAGTTATTAATTGTTGTGCGCTCAAAAGATATGTTCAAATGGCTTTGCCCGAAAGATAGGAATGTCGTAGAACAAACTTAATTGTGCATTAAGAAGACARCTTTTCTCTGTATTAATGAAAGTCCTTTTAGATTTTTTAATAAAGAAGTGCCAAAATATATATAAAAAGAAAACAGACTATAAGCACCTGGCTTGTGTGATCTAAAGGATATTATAAGTATCGTCTCATTAGATTTTTGGTAT